AGCACACACACGCGTGAAATAAATCACGTGGTTGCTCTGTGCTATAAACTATCTATGAATGTTCGCTATATTTGTTGCAGTTTAATAAACTGCAATTGTGATGAAAACAAAAAAAAGAAATGTATTGTATGACGTAAATGCATCGTACGTAAACTGATTTGATTGATTAAGAAATGAAATTTGCTTATTAATTGTTGCACGCTTCACTGATGATCCAACATACAAATGTATAACTGTTACAGTAACAAACACGTTTCTAATGATCAACTCAGAAATAAGGAAGTGCCTCCGTCCCATAACGTCCCAACATTCTTGTTGTCTTTTCGTATCGGAATACATCCCTACAGACGAACTGTGACCACTGTTGTCCATTATTGACCAATAAATGGTTAATTTATATTAAGAGTTCAAAGACAAACCTGCAGTTTGATTTCCACAAAAAAAAAAAAAAAATAAAGATAACGTCGCCTATTTTTTTTCAAATTGATATCCTGGCAATGTTCACCGAGATTGACCAATGCAAGATTAAAAAATTATCAAGAGATCCGAGACCAATTTTAAATTAGTTTTTTTTTTTTCAAAGACTTGATGTCAATCTTTACGATTAATTGCCTCTCGTAACAAAAGACGTTTTAATAATCGTAGATTGCTGGCGACCTACATACAGTGTAATCCTTCGATTAGACGGATAACAAGTAAACGAGGAAATTTCATGGTGTGAAAATGATTGCGTTTTTTCGAAATATCCACAGGTTAATATCTACTTAAGGATATACAGATTTTTTTTTTAAGAACGATTGCAAAATTTCCGAACCGCGAAAGTTGAAATATCTCGACACAGACAATTCCACATTGATAGCATGTGTAACTTGAATGGTACAGGAAAAGCCTTGTTTTGGGGACTTTATATTTGTGAGGGGTCCATTATATATTTCTGTTCGGATCGATGTCTACACAGTTACTGATGAAGTGGACTTGTTTTGAGTTTGAGTTTTTTTGGATTCTGTCCTGAGACGGTTGACGGTTAGGATTCTCCCCATATGTTAATAGAAGCTGCGATGATTGTTGTTTCGACTGACTCACAACCAATTTGTTTTTCTGCCTTCACTCCTATTTACGTCATAGGTTATTAGGCGAACATGCAGCAAGCCCATTTTCTACCGTTGCTAATGAATTGACATGCAACTATACATCATTCAAATTAATTGAATTACCCCTCTTACCATCATATGTATTTCTCTATTATTAAAATACAATAGGATTTTCTTCTCCAGATTTTCATTGAGATTCCTTACTATTTCCTTTCCTTTCCGTTTTGTATCCTCTCTGCTCTCTTGATTATCTTTTAGTAAAGAATCCGATACCCTGCTGATATTTGATGACAAAATATATCGTTTCCTGTTTAAAATTCATATCCAATCGCCTGCCACTTTAAGTAAATGGTACCACTTATGTATCTTCTATTACCGCGAAGAAGATTTTAACTTGAGAGGATTTTAGTTTTTAGATTCACCCTTAAACATAGAAGAAGGAAGTAGTTAAAGGGAAATTTTCTGGCTAAGAATAACTTCCCTTGTCAGGTTTTCTTAGGTTGTTCGGTCTATAAATGAGACACTGTTTTGAAGCTGTGGTTCCATAATTCCCGATTTCTCTTTACTTGTAAGACACGTTTTGTTTCCTGGCGCCTTTCTTTACAATGTCTCACTATTGGCTGTAATGGTGAGCGTTCGCCAAAGTGAGAAAGGCAATGGGTTCTGACCCAATGCAAGGCATACTAGAGTCCTCAGAAAAAGTAGTTGATTTTCCTTCTTAACCTTCAGCATTTAGAGTGATGACAACAACTGGTTCATTCTTTGTCAGAATAATGTTACCAGGCGGAATGCTGATCTTGGTATCTTTAGCATGGTAATTCAGTGAGAAAGCACTCTAAAATCGGTATCAGATCCTACTCTGCCTCTAGCATGCATACACACAAGCACGCATGTATTACGCACGTGGAAACACGTCCTTAAATAACCACAGTTGTTCATAGGACGTTAAACAAAATAAACACCAGACCAAACCTTAACTCCCAAATGGCAGAACTTGAATCGGTGAAGTATATGGGCTAAGTAATGTAAAGGTCCTGAGTTCGAGCATTGCATTGCTTTCTTTTTCTTACTTTTTCTTTTCTTTTTTCAAACATTCAAATTTCTAGCAACAAAAATTCTGAAAAATATGCAATGCAACAATTGAATTTTTATGGAATGCTTATTTTGAAAAAACATACAAACTTTAAAAAATATTTTTTGTGACAATGATAATAACCAAGTCTAAAAGTAACTTAACCTTAAAGTAGACCGTAGATTTTGTCTTTTTATAAGTCTGCTACACAGACCATTTAAATTCAGTTGTACGGTTTATTTTCCTGGGATGTAAGGCATGAATTTACATAGCAGGCGAGCAAAGATGAAAAATCCAAAACGGGTATCATCAATCTAATATGAAGAGAAACGAATGACAGATTATTTTTATCATATAATACAAAAGTAAACTGTATAGTTGTGATCTGAAACGAATATGTTGCACTCTGCCGCCTCTGAAACGATGAAAATGGCGGCAGGAAATGTGAGTTTAAGTGAGTTGGCACGAAAAAACAGTGCCGTTATTTGCCGTCTGAAGGGCAGTCGCACGCCATTTTAGAACGAAATGCACCATCCATTAGAACGCATGCAAATAAAAAGGATGTATTTCCCAAGCTTCATAAGGAAATCAAGTAACCTCCTGATAAGGCAGCTTTTTCTATGTCTCCCCAAACACATGTATAAACTTCAAAGAACTTAATGTTGGCATATGTTTTTACATGTATTATGTATTTTATTTATAATTTGTTAATACAACCATGATGCTTTCATGAGCCTTTAACGAAACATTGAGAAGATATGGATCAAATAACTAATTGTGTTTGATAGTAAATATTGTAAAATATCTATAAAGTCCTATTTTGAGAAAACTGTTTTATGTTACAACACTGAGAAAAGTAAATTAGATTCAGCCATAAAAAAAGATGCAAAATGTTGTACACTTACAATAAATGACCTAAAGACGCTTCGGGATCATTCACACGAGAAACCCATGTGAAAATACAGTAAATATTTATCATTAAAATAGATTCTTCTTGCTACATTGATACATTAAAATGATAGGATTAGGCAGAATCATGTAAATACACTTTACTAGGGACCCCTTATAGCATTGACAATAGGGGGATATATCCCCCATACTTTAGTACAATGGAATCAGTCTTGTTTTGAAAACACCATATGATAATGTCTAAAGAAAGCAGTTAAAACGAAGATTCACCGTACATTCTACATTTGAAAATTGTATTGTATTAAGGGGAATTTAGAATAGGGGAAAAAAATGTGACATCTTAAATTACCGGACCTATCCGCTAGTTATCATTTGTTGTTGTTATCCGGAATTAGGATATCATAAGGAAACAATAATCGAGCGATAGAGACTTAAGCACGTGAAGGAAATCTGATGTTTTGTTTGCCTGTCATGTAAAGGATTTCGTTCAATCGGACACGTAAACAAAGATGAAGTATGATTTTATCTTTTGAACATTCCTCGACAAATGCAAAATAAGAGTGTAATTTTGTTCAAATGGAAATTCAAGATTCCCAGGTGGACTCATTGGTGAAAAAAAGAAAAAAACATTGTTAAAATGGTGAAAAATATACCATAATGTTTTTGCCATCTGTCAATATCAGTATGCAAATAGGTCGGTTGAAATATGTTTTCAATATTCATCTTTTTGGCAGAGTTAAGGCACTAAATATCCAATTAATGAAACACGTATATTCAACATGTACAAGATGTTTAGAAGGACCCTTACTTAAGCGACTCTTGAAATGTCATTTTCTGTTTACACCTAAACTATTATATAAAGGTTCAATATATAAAGGTCAATTGAAGATTTATCGACGTCATTCGAAAAATGTTAATTGTTTTCGATATGCAATGAGTTATCCTTCAAACTGACAAGGCCAACACTTAACCACAAGCCATGGTATGCGTTATTCAAAGTTGGTTTGAGGCCTAATATAAGGTCAATAGACAATGTCATAAATGCAATTTAATTTTGCATATGAATATATATTTAGCATGGATTAGACCAATGTCAAGTAACAACACACGCTACATATGGTTATCATCTTTATTTCAGGAATTTAATTTTTTTTTCCAACATTGATGAGGTCATAGCATTGGGTCTCTGGGCAGATCTAGGAACTGAAAGTTGTTAGGACATAAAACTTGTTGAAAAAAACAACATACCTCATATTTACATAAAAATCTTATAGGTTATCTTTAAGGATACAAATATTAATACTACTGCTATAGTTTTCTTCACTTATACGTGGGTGCAACGCACAAGGGAGAACAGCGTGTTTTCGAGGGAAAATATGAAACCTCCCTTGGATATCCTTGCAATAACAAATATAATGAAGTTCCATTTTCGAAATTTTTGTAGAGAATTGAATGATATTTTCAACAAATTTTGTCAACTTTAGCATGAATGCATTTATGTTCATTTAAACAATCATTACAACAAAACTCGAATGGTTGCTTCATGGGGAACGGTAAAACAAAACTGAGCCTGTATTACGTGATGCGGTCCGACATTATGTCAAAACACTATGTGATGAGGCTACATGTATTATGCAAAAAAACTTCACTTTCGTCAATGGGTCCAAGTATACCGGATTTAAATGTGTGTATTTAAATTTATGTATTTTAAGAGCACTTATGATTAGTAAATGCAAACGACATTTCGGTGCACTTTATTTATTAGAGTCTGGCTTACAAAAGATTTAAAAGATCACTAGTGTTTGTGAGTATAAATATCAATAATTTGTTAAGATTCGAACTAAATTTGTTGATTCAATTTGTATATGATTTTGCAAATATGTTTGACAATACAGGTATGCATATTTTGATTTTGTGTATATTTTTAGTTTGCTGCTTCAATCCCTGTATGAATTCCGGAGGATGTAGAGAGGCTAACGACACAAATCCTGCTCCATTTACCTGCCAATGTACCGAGCTCTATGAAGGGGTTATCTGCGAAAATCGGATATTCGTTGGTATGTATGAATATCATTAGTGAGTTTGACATAACATTTGTGATTGCTAGAACACAGTGTCTATGACATCTCTTCCATGTTTGGGTTATTAAGAAAAGAATTTTCTTATATTATGTCGATTTTCCTCACGTGATCGTAAAGGCAAACGAATACAGAACCCCTTGTAGTATAATAAATGTCTTTTATCCCCTCTAAAAGTAACATTTATGAAATAAAAGTGATAAATCCCAAACCCAAACGTTTGCGTATTTTAGATCGTTATGTGTTTATGATAAACAGTCTTTTACCTTTGGGTTCGAAAGAAAAACACTTATCACAAATAATATATAAAGTGGTTACAAATGTGTTTGTTTTAGTAAGTGTTTTACTTAATTCTAAGAGAAAAAAACACTTACTACAAATATATTGATTTAATAGCTATAACATCAGATTTGAGGATACTAGCAGCTTAACTAGACATACAAAACATATCATTTATGAACAAACTTACATCACTACAAATTACACTTTATATGAATTTATTGCCTATCACTTCATACATCAATTCAATACAACACACAGAGTCCCCCATTTATAATCCTTTACGTCATATACTTATACACATGTAAATTAACTTTACAAAGTACATAACTAAAATGGCACCAACAAGAAGATGGAGAACGAGGTTGACCTACATAGGTCAACCGGTGTCCTATATAACCCACACCTACCGGTGTAAGGTGAAATATTAACCCGGTATCTTCCGTGATTACAAGCAAGTGGGTACCCAGTGTAATGAAATATTGATGATGCGTCTTCCATCCATGGCACCCAATACACAAAGGAACTAAACCTGGCAAAATAAGGAAAAATAGTTAGCACAGTCGAGTAAAACGTTTTTTGAAACACATTTATTTCTATATAATAATGATAATTTATATTTTGTGAACTGCTTTGAGACGATCTACGAACTAGGTTGTGATAAAGCTGTATATAAGAACCTCGAATTATTATTATTATTATATTGCACGTATTATTTACATTGTCATTTAAAAAAATAAAAAAATATTACTTTACTCAAAGAATAATTGATATCTGGAATAGTCTCCCACAAGATGTAATTTAATCTCGTAACGTATTTGACTTTTAGAAAAACTTCTGGAAAATCTTGAGTTGAAGTACGATCATACAGCGTCTTATGTTCTGACTTATTTGATGTTTACCGAATTGTATTTCAAAATATATTGATGTGGATATAGAGGCAGTAATGCCTGCGTCCACTAATATCCTATCAAATCATATTAAATTTGTGATACTTATGAAAAGGTTTATACTTTGAAAGATAATTATCTGAATGTTTAACCTCACAATACTGCCGTAATTCATTTTGTTATCTAGTTAAAAACACATCATATTTTTGTCAAAAAAGAAATAATTTTGCCGAGCGCCTAACTTTTTTTTTATCTTCCCAAAAATTTTAGAAAAAGCGCATTTCCGAGATGAAACTTAGATGTTTTAAAAATCGGTTCTTGGAAAAAGTTGAAATTTGTTATTTAAAAGGAAAAAAAGAAATCTTTGTTTCAGCATGTAAACATTTGTTTTGATAGATATTTAATCTAATTTAATATACTTTAATGGATTAACGTGTGTTGAAAAACAAACAATATATAATTAAAATGTTGGCAGGAAAACGCCTTTTGCCTTTGACAGTAAACAGCTGTATAGGAATATATTACTGTTCAATGTACTGTCATCGCATTTATGTGATCTTCATAAAGATTATGGTATTTAGTAATTATTATAATGTAGTGATTTATCAATTTTAATATATATTTGACCTTTTGATTTTTGATTGTTTTTTAATTAATTCATTTCCCAGCAGTAATAATTTTAATCATTGTACGTATTCTACTTGCCGGGTGATTTTGTGAAGTATTGTTTACAAGAAGTGGTAAACAAAATGTCTATTTAACTGAACTAGTTTGTACTGCGTAATGACATATTGAAAATAGTTACTTAGTCTTCAAGGCGTAATACTACCTGAGCTGTTATCAAGAGGCAATTAATATAAACTGTTGATTAATAAACAGGGTCAAGTTCGATAGAAAATCTTCGTTTTGTGTGTGAAAACATGTATGTATGTTCCTTGGTGAAGGTTGTATATGTACATACCAACCCGAATTGTTGTTATAGTATAATAGCAGCAAGAACTCTTACACGTGAATATGTTCTAATCGGGTATTTCGGTCGAATGCTTGAATAGTAGGTGGTATCGTTACGTTACGTCAAATTCAAACTATGGTTTCCGATTGACGTCACCGCCTTAGCGAACCGGTTTTCATGAAACTATGTTGTTCCCGCAAAAAAAATGCCATTTCGTCTATAAGTAAAATTAGTGTGTTAAAATAGTTTCCACATCGAATGTGATCATACAGAATTTTTGAATAATAGTATTGCCTCGTTGTTTGGAACGTCAATATATATATAGGGACTGAAATTCATCTTTTCCGACAATATGTAACACAGTTCCTTTGAAATAAATTTGGTTTGAACAAAATTGTGTTGCATATCATAAGTATATATATACTACTCACATTTCCCTAAGGATCACTTTTATTTTTGGGCGTATGTGAAATATTTTACTTGTTTTATACTGAAATTATTTTCAACTATGGGAGAGCGTTCCACTCAGATACCAAAGCTGTTCCCAGCTCCTGGAGAGTTCTTGGCTGAAAATGTCTGCAGCATGTTCCACACATGCTCGATGGAAATTAGATCCGGCGAGCAGACTGGCCAATCGATTCGTTGAATAGTCTCTTGCTGTATATACTGCTCAGTCACCCTTGCTCTGTATGGCCTAGCATTATCGTTCATAAGGATGAAGTCAGGGCCGATAGCGCCAGCGTAGGGTCTGCCATAGGCATCAAGGATTATATCGCAATATATCCGGGCCGTAACGGTACCATTATGGAAGACATAGAGGTCAGTTTTACCACGAAGGCTTATGCCTCCCAACTCTATCACTAAACCTTCGCCATATCGGCCATGTTAAAAAAAACGTTGCCTGCCTGGAACCTCTCCTCAGGTTGTTTCCATACTCTAACGCGCCTGTTGGTGAAGTCCAGACAGAATCTGGACTTGTCAGTAAAAAGAACTGGATCCCATTCCTGAAGACTTTAGGTGCTGTGAGCATTGGCCCAATCTAATCGGTCCCTAACATGGCGGGCAGTTCAAGGAACTCGTATTGCTGGTCTACGTGACCTTACACCAGTATCATGAAGACGGTTCCTAACTGTTTGAGTGGCTAACCGGGTACCAGAAGCCTTTAGGAGGTCATTTCGTAAAGCTGTTGCAGTCTGGAGCCTGTGACGCCGTGTCTGTATGAGCAAAAATCGGTCTTGGCGCTGCGTTGTAGCCCTAGAACGACATCCAGCATGACATCTGGAAGGGTTTCCGTTAGTTTGGAAACGGTTCCACATTATTGCCACCACACTTTGAGACACCCCAAGGTTTGCTGCAACCTGATGTTGAGACATGCTTGCTTGCAGCATTCCGATGCCTCTATTTATTTTTTCGTCATTCAACAGTTGTCTGGTTTGTCTTTTGGCCATATTAAAACAAAACATGCAAAGAATATTCATCAAATTGATTTCCTTAATAATTTCAACAACGCCTTACCTAGCCTAGCTTAGCTTTTGAAAGGGGTGTACACGTGGAAAAGCGTGCACGCGCTTTTATGGTTGACTGAACACACCCACAAAGGACGATTTGGAAGGTTAACATATACGCCCAAAATAGTACGGAAGGAAAATAAATTATCCTTATTTTGATTTATTTTCTCAAAGTATGGGTGATCCTTAGCAAAATGTGAGTAGTATATATGAAAGATTCATTCGCATCCTTAACTATACATAGAACATTATAATTTGGGAATGTCGTTCCATTGTTTTGACATTTATAAGGTTGTCGGAGGAAATTTGCTGCATTTTGTGTCATTACGATATATAAATTAACTGCATGCTGTTCTGCTTTCCCCCCCTGGAATTGTAGACAAGTGTGTTGACAACCCTTGTCAAAATGGTGGTACCTGTAGTAATATAAACACGGATCCGTTTTTCTCCTGTACCTGTACTATGAGCCACACCGGCAAGAGTTGCGACCAGGAAAAGTGTGAGTACACATCTACTTAATAAGATATAGTTAATAATAAAACAGCGTTTTTCAAATTATATGTAACAGGGGTCATTATATCTTTCAATGCCTCCGCTAGGGGTCGAACCCGAGACCTCTGGTTAACTAGTCTTACGCTCTACCAAATGAGCTAAAGAAAATCTCCCTATCCGAGATGTAAGAAGCGGTTAGTATTTTACCAGGGTGCCATATACAAACCTAATGATAAACTAAGACCTAGGACACTGAGTTATCTCCCTTGCTTTTGGCAGTCCTCATTGGTGAAATATGTGAGGGGAGACGATTGAGCACGCATCTTCAAAGCCTGACGTAATTTACAGTTAGAAAACGTGTTTCAAATTCAACACACCAGATAACGTAGTTTGACACCTGTTATGGGCTATCTCCCATACAAATTTAAACCTAATGATAAAGTAAGACTTAGGACACTGAGTTATCTCCCTTGCTTATGGCAGTCTTCACTGGTGAAACATGTGAGGGGAGACGATTGAGCACACATCTTCAAAGTCTGACATAATTTACAGTGAGAATACGTTTTTTAATTTAACAAACCAAATAATGTAGTTGGACACCTGTGTTATCTCCCTTGCTTATGTCTGACCACACAAGCGACACATGTCACCACAGAAATAGTAAGTACACATCTTTTTAATCACACAAAATGAGATTTTCATATTATACAAACCCAATTCTGAAGTAAGACCTACGACATTGAGTTATCTCCCTTGCTTATGGCGGACTTCACTGGTGCCTCATGTACGTGACGCTATAACGATTGAGCTCATCACATCTCCTACACTAATCACGCTGAATAATGCAAAAGAGATTCTACATTTTTCAAAATAGCGATGTTTGACCTTGACATGTTGACAAATGGTATGAAATTGATATGCTGACTGAAAGTAAATAATTTATATACTAAATAATAACAACAAATGATAAATATCTGTTATTATAATGTATGAGAGCATAGGAATATGTTGAACAAATTAATTAATTTAACATAGTGAATACAGACAACATCAATAAAATTAGTATTTATTTAGTAAATTAACACCAGGTAATATAATTAATATGTTTATTACGGGTAATATATTTAGTACAGTATTTTAATACCAGGTAATATAATTAATATGTTTACTACGGGTAATATATTTAGGATATTAATACCAGGTAATATAATTAATATGTTTACTACGGGTAATATATTTAGTATGTTAATAACATGTAATATAATTAGTATGTTGACTACGGGTAATATATTTAGTATATTAATACCAGGTAATATAGATAATATGTTTACTACGGGTAATATATTTAGGATATTAATACCAGGTAATATAATTAATATGTTTACTACGGGTAATATATTTAGTATATTAATACCAGGTAATATAATTAATATGTTTACTACGGGTAATATATTTAGTATGTTAATAACATGTAATATAATTAGTATGTTGACTACGGGTAATATATTTAGTATATTAATACCAGGTAATATAATTAATATGTTTACTACGGGTAATATATTTAGTATGTTAATAACATGTAAAATAATTAGTATGTTGACTACGGGTAATATATTTAGTATATAATACCAGGTAATATAATTAATATGTTTACTACGGGTAATATATTTAGTATGTTAATAACAGGTAATATAATTAGTATGTTGACTACGGGTAATATATTTAGTATATTAATACCAGGTAATATAATTTATATGTTTACTACGGGTAATAAATTTAGTATATTAATAACAGGAAAAATAATTAATATGTTTACTACGGGTAATATATTTAGTATGTTAATAACACGTAAAATAATTAATATGTTTACTACGGGTAATATATTTAGTATATTAATACCAGGTAATATAATTAATATGTTTACTACTGGTAATATATTTAGTATGTTGACTATGGGTAATATATTTAGTATGTTGACTACGGGTAATGTATTTAGTATAGGGTAATATATTTAGTATATTAATACCAGGTAATATAATTATTATGTTTACTACGGGTAATATATTTAGTATGTTAATAGCATGTAAAATAATTAGTATTTGACTACGGGTAATATATTTAGTATGGTGACTACGGGTAATATATTTAGTATATTAATACCAGGGAATATAATTAATATGTTGACTACGGGTAATATATTTAGTATATTAATACCAGGTAATATAATTATTATGTTTACTACGGGTAATATATTTAGTATGTTGACTACGGGTAATGTACTTAGTATATTAATACCAGGTAATATAATTAATATGTTGACTACGGGTAATATATTTAGTATATTAATACCAGGGAATATAATTAATATGTTGACTACGGGTAATATATTTAGTATATTAATACCAGGGAATATAATTAATATGTTGACTACGGGTAATATATTTAGTATATTAATACCAGGGAATATAATTAATATGTTGACTACGGGTAATATATTTAGTATATTAATACCAGGTAATATAATTAATATGTTGACTACGGGTAATATATTTAGTATATTAATACCAGGGAATATAATTAATATGTTGACTACGGGTAATATATTTAGTATATTAATACCAGGTAATATAATTAATATGTTTACTACTGGTAATATATTTAGTATGTTAATAACATGTAAAATAATTAGTATTTGACTACGGGTAATATATTTAGTATGGTGACTACGGGTAATATATTTAGTATATTAATACCAGGGAATATAATTAATATGTTGACTACGGGTAATATATTTAGTATATTAATACCAGGGAATATAATTAATATGTTGACTACGGGTAATATATTTAGTATATTAATACCAGGTAATATAATTATTATGTTTACTACGGGTAATATATTTAGTATGTTGACTACGGGTAATATATTTAGTATATAATACCAGGTAATATAATTAATATGTTTACTACTGGTAATATATTTAGTATGTTAATAACATGTAAAATAATTAGTATTTGACTGCGGGTAATATATTTAGTATGTTGACTACGGGTAATATATTTAGTATATTAATACCAGGGAATATAATTAATATGTTGACTACGGGTAATATATTTAGTATATTAATACCAGGTAATATAATTATTATGTTTACTACGGGTAATATATTTAGTATGTTGACTACGGGAAATGTATTTAGTATATTAATACCAGGTAATATAACTAATATGTTTACTACGGGTAATATATTTAGTATGTTAATAGCATGTAAAATAATTAGTATTTGACTACGGGTAATATATTTAGTATGGTGACTACGGGTAATATATTTAGTATATTAATACCAGGTAATATAATTAATATGTTGACTACGGGTAATATATTTAGTATATTAATACCAGGTAATATAATTAATATGTTTACTACGGGTAATATATTTAGTATGTTAATAACAGGTAAAATAATTAATATGTTGACTACAGGTTATATATTTAGTATATTAATAACAGGTACATGTAAAATAATTAGTAAGTTGACTACAGGTAATACTTATAGCAGGTAATATAATTATTGTGTTGACTACAGGTAATATATTTAGTATATTAATTTACACATAATTTAGTATAATTTCAAGTATATTAATAACAGGTAATATAACTAGCATGTTGACCAAAGGTATAAAGGATAAAGAGGTAATAAATTGTATACTTATTATGTTTACTACAAATACCTGCAATATACTTATTATTACAGGTAATGCATTGTATAAGTACAATGTACGTTGATTTCTGGTAATGTATTTAATAGTTATATCATCTACAGGTAATTTATTGTATAATAAGGATGATGACTGCAGGTTATTTTTCTTATTACAGGTAGTATTGTAAGTTCAGTTAAAGTAGTGTTTCTTTCAATGATCAATCAAGATTTTTATATGCATGTATAGCGTGTTGGCTACAGGAAATATACATAGTATTTTAATTAACAGGTTATGCATGTATAATATGCATGTTGATTACAGGTAGCATATATATTATGGTGATTACAGGTAAAAACATAAGTGCGCTGACGAAATGGACATATTGTATTATTAGCTTCATTAAGTTATTTACATGTGACATGGATACCAAGTATTATTTTATTTTTTGAGCTTCCATTATTCGTACATTATTCATCACGAATTCACATTGCTTTCTGTATGTTTATCGATCGATTATATACTTTATTGACAAACTAATCACTACTTCACACACATAATTTGTTTTAACTGCTACTTATATATGATTGATTAATCATACTTTAAATCAAATTTATTTCCATTTGTTTTAGCATTTAACCAGGCAGTTCATACATCGGCAAAGTTGCGTAAGTATTCAATTTTTATATGGTTCGATGTGTGTAAGGGCCTGTATTTTGTTATTAAAGATTTAATGTAATTTGTAATCATATATTTGTACATACACTGTTTAAAGCGTGCATTATTCAAAATCAAGAAATATGGGTTCCCTACATGACACAGTGGCTAATTAAATCCAGCGCTGTATTTTGGCACTTGAAATCAAGGTCAAAGGTCAAATAGCACATATGTATGAGGTCAAGGTCCTATGTCAAATAGCGGTACAAAGGTACAACAGAGCGCCTATTTATAACATGCCTGCATACCAAGTTTCTAGTTTGGTATTTGAGGTCTAGGTCAAAGGTCAAATAGCGGTACAAATGTACAGCATAACACTTATGTTTGAAATGTCTGCGTACCAAGTCTCTAGTTTTGTATTTCAGGTCTAGGTCAAAGGTCAAATAGCGGTTCAAATGTACAACAGAGCACCTATATATGACGTGCCTGCGTACCAATTTTCTACTTTGGTATTTTAGGTCATGGTCAAAGGTTAAATAGTGACACAAAGGTACAACAGAGCACATTTGACGTACCAAGTCTCTAGGTATTTCACAAAATAATGGTCGGTTTATACTCCTGAAACTTGTAGATTTAAACTCGTTTATGTACGCACATGGCAGGCGATTATTATGAAACCCATGCTTTGTTCGAAACAGGGAAAAAGTACAGTTCAATGTTTGATAATATCCGGTATGACCTATTTGGAAAAGTATGCTGATTGAAATCATTCCAGTAATTATCAAACTTTTTGTACAATTATTTGGTTATTTGCACTCCCCCTCTGCTGGAACAGTAGTTTAGCCATATTGGAAGTCCACCTTCTTACCCATTGCTATCACAGATGAGTCATACAAGGCAGAAATAGCTGTATGGTGCAATGCAATGTATATTTTACTGTAACTACATTTTACCAATTTATATAGGAGTAATGATATAAATGGGTGCGGTTTACCTTGTACAGTATGCATACATCTTTTCTGGTAGCACTTGTACCTTCGTGACCATACAGTTCCAATACCAATTTTTCACTGATTATCGATAGAAAATTACGTGAGTTTATTACTGTTTCCCCTCGATTGATAAATGTACTGATTCAGCTTAATCTGGACGAATGTCTAGTGTCAACGTCAATGTTAACCAATGTCATCTATAATAATAATATGAAACATTAAGTATAGCGCCCTATCTAGCTTAAATATGTCACTCTAAAGCGCTTTACAGTATATATATATATTTAATACAATTAGTCCAGGGAAAACACTAACTTTTTTTGTTTGGTAGTCCACAGGACTAGTTGAATAGATTACTTACTAGTTCTTTGTCAATGTAACTAGTCCAAGATTACCTGATAAGGAAAAAAATGCGATCTACAGCACGAAACATCAAAAGGATTTGACAGTACTGAAGTAGACTTAAAATAACTACTACCATAAATATATGGTAAAGTTTTAGGAAAATTGTGACAATCATCATGCAATATATCTTACCTTTAGGAATTTTCTAAATTTTAAAAAGAAATGTTCTTATTTTATAACCGTATTTTTCACAATTCCAAAGGACCAGTTAGGTTAGGTGATTCACTAGTCCTTTCTGAAATCTACTAGTCTAGGACTAGGGGACTAGTGTTAGTGTCAATCCCTGAATTTAGCAATTCAATTTTTAAGGAATTCGCATGAGTTGCCTTATCAGGCGCTACTACTAAGCATATGCCACCTGGTTAATATCTCCCTATGATGTGTGTTTGCCTGCGTGTGCTGGAGATGTATTGTGTATGAGGAAACAGAATAATATTATATATATAACTTATTTCAGGATTCAATTTCTCAAATAATAGTTTTCTTTAAATATATACTGTAACGGCTTGATCGAGAAAATTCACAGTTTTACTTTTTTCTCTGTTGCTACCAAGCTTCCTGTACTTCTTCATATTGCAAAAATGGCGGAACCTGTTCGTTGAGTCGGGGAAACCTCTACTGCGCTTGCGCAGACGGATACACGGGGGACAGGTGTGAGGAAATAGGTAAGAAAATATCAATTCTTCAAACAAGCAATTCTCTTTCCAATACATGCGTGTGCTATTTTTGCATAAACGTTCTTTAAGCAACTGTTCATTAAGTGTTAATCAACATTTGAAGAAAACAATTTGGGGGGTCAGATGTATTTATACACCAGAACCCGTAAATGATAATAATTATAATAAAAAATATAATGAATAATTAAATAATTTGATATGAAGGTATACCATAAGAAACAATCCCTTACTTTTGGAATTGAGGGTACATGTAATGTAACATTGAATACAGTTAAAATGAATATAACAATCATTCTTAAAATGTTCAGAAACTTAAAGTGATTTTGTATGGCGTTACATTACTTTTTTTTTCTCTTAAAACCAGTAATTTTGTTCTGAACCAAAAATCAGAATGTCATTGTAGAAGCACATTTTGCAATATGTTAATGCGTATAACTTTCTTTTTATGAAATACTTTCTAGAAATCTATCAAATCAGGACTAGGTATCTCTTAAATAGCTGTAACAAATGGTGATAGTTTTATTATTTGCAATGTAATGTCACAGTCAAAAGTTATTGAATAATAAAATTCGTAAGTTTAAAATCTTTTTTTAAAATCAAATTCAATATTAATCAAATGGGCATATTTCCATTCAATTCAATATTTATTTATTTATAGAAACTACGACAGCACCAACAACAACAACAGCCAGCGGATCTTAAACTACTCTGACTTTGACAAAAGGTGTGTGTTTTTTTATTGTTACTTAATTGTGTTTCCTAAATATATGATACATTTCCTTAAACTCAAATAAAGATTACTTGCATACTACACATGTCAAAATATCTATTTAAAAGTTGTTAATTAACAATATCAAATGCTCGAAATGTGTGATACAAGACCGTTTCCCATTAGTGTGATTTTACGATATGACGAAGAAAAAACCCGTTCTTATACATTGTACGTCTTTTACACAATAAAATAGCTGTTTACCGGAAGTGCACATGACCCCTATCACGTGACTTTCGTATTGAAAACTAACTCAAATCGGGAGAGAAAGAGCGTCTCTGAAACGACATTTTATCTTAAAAAAAAGATACAAATGAGCTTATCTTTTATGGTATTGCACAACCAAATTACAAATATTTATTTTATGACTACTTGCAAAGTATAAAAGATATAAAATAACATATTTGTCATTATTTGAAATATTGATTGAATAATTGAATATCATCGATAATGTAGTAACCAACCTTCCCATCCGACTGTATCGACGATGGTCTTTCCGGATGTGAAGATAGAGTTATGTCCCCTGTGCAATACCGAACAGTGCTAATATATGTTATATTCCAAGTAGTGATGGGATGATAATCGATTATAATCGAAAAAACGCTCGGTTTAACCTTTCTGATTCCAATAATCGATTACAAATATTCCATTATAGATATAATAAATTGAAATAAAAGTGTCAATGTTTTCAATGTAAAAAATGCATTGTAAGTCATATATTCTTATGACTTTTATTATATGATTAATTAAAAAATGCACAAAAGTAACTTAAAATCCATTCATTATAAAAGAACGAACCATATTGGATAGTAAGCAACTCTGTCTATTGATGTTATGGAATGGTTCATAGTAGAAAATTTCTCTTAACATTAGATCGTTGAAGGCCCGGATTCAACGGCGTTAGGTGTTCATCGCCATGACCACCCCCAGTTTCTGACAAAGCAGTTTCGACACTGAAGAAATAGGAAACGTACCATACTTACACGCGATTTGAAGCAAAATGACGAATCCAACAAGTTAAATTTTGTAAGGTTTTGTATTGTAATTTTTTTAAGGTAATTGTAAATAATTACATGTTCATGTTCATGTAATTAATATCTATTAATTTGTATCTGTATCTTCGAAAACATTTCTATATGAATACCTTTTTTTTTTATTTTCTCCTTGGAAAATTTCTGTAATAAAATGTATTTTTGTATTTGTTTCCTCAATATGATGTTTCATCTGTATCATTTCTATATAAACATCTATTTTTCTCTCTGTTCTTGATAGGATTACGTTATTTATATCTATTTTTGTACCTCTTTTCCTGATAACATTTTATTTCTTTTTTTTCTGTTTATCTGTTTTTTATATTTATTTTTGTACCTCTTTTCCTGATAACATTTTTTTTCTTTTTTTTTCTTCTAATTATCTGGTTTTTTATATCTATTTTTGTATCTGTTTCTTCGGTAACATTGCTATGTTTATATGTATTTTTGCATTTCTTTCCTCGGTAAAATTTATTTTTTAATATCTATTTTTATATCTGTTTTATCGGTAACATTTTCGGCTTAATATATATTTTTGCATCTGTTGCCTCGGTAAAATTTCTATCTATTTTGATTGACCTTTTTATAACACATGTACAATTTTCAGGGTTTACATATTCATGCCCAACGATAAAACCTAATGTGACTAGTAATGAATAGTTTATACCAATGCAGCCTAGTGTACCGTTTAAACCGTCAGCCTAGTGTCAAGGCCGAGTAGAACGGTATGTGAATCGTTCAAACCGTCAGCCTGGTGTTAAGGCCAAGAAGGACGGTATGCGAATAGTCTATCCCGTCTACCTAGTGACGACATGTGAATAGTTTTTACTATCGTCCTAGTGTTAAGACCTAGTGTGACGGAATGTGAATCGTTTATACCACCAGCCTAGCTAGTGTTAAGGCCTAGTGGGACGGTATGTGAATCGTTCAAACCGTCAGCCTGGTGTTAAGGCCAAGAAGGACGGTATGTGAATAGTCTATCCCGTCTACCTAGGGACGACATGTGAATAGTTTTTACTATCTACCTAGTGTTAAGACCTAGTGGGACGATATGTTAATAGTTTATACCATCTACCTAGTGGTAAGACCTAGTGTGACGGTATGTGAATCGTTTATACCACCAGCCTAGCTAGTGTTAAGGCCTAGTGGGACGACATGTGAATAGTTTATACCGTCTTCCTAGTGTTAAGACCTAGTGTGACGGTATGTGAATCGTTTATACCACCAGCCTAGCTAGTGTTAAGGCCTAGTGGGACGACATGTGAATAGTTTATACCTTCTACCTAGTGTTAAGGCCTAGTGGGATGATATGTGAATCGTTTATGCCGTCTACCTAGTGGTAAGGCCTAGTGGGATGATATGTGAATCGTTTATGCCGTCTACCTAGTGGTTAGGCCTAGTGGGACGACATGTGAATCGTTGATACCGTCTACCTAATGTTAAGGCCAAGTGGGACGGTATGTGAATCGTTGATACTGTCTACCTAGTGTCTACCTAGTGGTAAGGCCTAGTGGGACGGTATGTGAATCTGTTATATCAGTCTGCATTTTTTAAGATTTTGTATTTTGTATAAATCGTTTTGCATTCAGGTGTTTTTGTATATGTTTTTGGCTTGGTATCATAATATTTTATACTTTTCAAGTCATTAAGGCAAGTGTGTAATCATGATTCTGTATAGAAAATTTGTCCTGTGTTGTCACATACCATTTTTAATTATTATTTTGTAAACATAAATACTTGTTTTGGCATAATGTGCCTTATAAAATACGTTTGTATGATGTCTGTACATTTTTTAAACTAATTCGCTACACCAGGGAAATGTATTCACTACCCCTCTCTTAACTTCATTTAATTGTTGTTGTGATAAATTTAAGGTATACATATGCACAAAAAATACGACAAAAATTATTACAGATCTGCTAAAAACTCAAAACGTTTACAATTCTAACCCCACTTAAATTAACTTACAAAGTTGTTTAACGTAAAAAGAAAGAATTTTACATTTGTATTTGTAATTATCTATATATAATTACCTTTATCAGCATTGTGCGGACGTCTAAAATAAGTTTAAAAAACGCCAGTCATTCTGGGATTACTTGTTCAGTAGAGGAATACATGAACTAGATAAGAAATAGATACTTCATCAAGTTAGTGGAACATACTCTAAGGAGGGTTGAGCATGCGCAGTATGCTGACGTTTATCATAATGACTGGGTCGAAATGACGCTCTGTTTCTCCGCGAGGATTATAGACCGCGTCTGTACATTACAAACGTTTCGTTGAATTATGAATTACTTTGTTGCATTGTTACGTTGATGTTTATATATTGTTAATTAAATATTGTATTGCAAGAAAATAGTTTTTACTGTTATTTATCCTGACGTTTATTTTAATCATTACAATTGAAGAACAACGTTCGAAACGAAAAAAACAAAAGGAAAGAAATATCAAATAATACTACAAGCATTTGAGAAGGAGGGCGGTTTTAACATTTTAACCGGAAATGGTAACGCCAGAAAATAGTCCATATTTGTTAATTTATCTAAATTTTATGAAGATTATTTCAAATGCTATTGCACGTCAGCTGTAAGATATACACATAAAACAGAACAATCTTTAATGATTCTCTCGTTGACCAACCTGTCAATTATGTTAGGAATTAGCATAATAAAACAAATTACCACATGTTAACTATCTATTTTGCACTCATAAATATCGCGCAGGATCATTTAAGCGTTGTCAGCGAGAAACTTATTCAATTTGTGAGAAAGAGGTCTGTCTGTTATATTTTTGACATGCAAGTGTGGTATTTGAAGCCGATTTAACATTTTAAGGTGTCCATGTCAACATTTTAACAGTAAACTATTCTTAAAATGGAATATAAGGATTTTTTTGGTGGCATTAACTTTTCGATTCCTGAGGATTTTTTGTAATTAAGTGAAAAGAACGCGGTCCTTTTAATCGCTGTTTGTTTTAGTGCCAATTTAAAACTTGCTGTAATGCCTGGATCTAGGTATTTTCGTTACATAGTCGATTTCGTCGTCAGGTCAATTCACTGGAAGCGCGAAAAAAGCGCTACGCAAAAATATTCGGTGTTTTGTAGCTGACTATTGTAATTCGTTAAAGATGGAATGTTTGCTAAAACATAAAATTTCATGACAATTAAGGGAAATCTATAGACTCGATTTGGTTTGCTTGTGATTTTTGTCCTATTAACAGCTATAGTAATTTAATGATGTGCCAGGTGTTAGTGGTGGAGGAGTACTGGAATACCGGGAGAAAAACCACCGACCTGCGGCGGTGTACCTGGTAAGTGCCCCACGTCGCCGCGAACCAGTATTGGAGGGCTAGTGCTCCAGACAGCAAATCGCCCTAATACTTGGCCATCGCAGCCCCTGAACATTTTTAGAACTATGATACTTTTATTTAATGGAACATTGGTTCACTTTTTTTAGAAGAAGGTTGAAACACAAACCAGTATAAGAGATTACGTTTGTAACACTTACGACTTATGATAATCGTATATATAACGTCAGTATTGCAAATGTTAAAGGTACTTTGTGTATGTACTGACGAGTGTAATAATGTATTTAAATGCTACACCTAATTATCACGTTTCGACGAAAGACGTCAGAACAAATTAACCTACATATGTTTGACAACATGCTAGTAACAACTCACAGTTCCCGGAGAAAAAAACATCGACCAACGGTCAGTACCTGGCGACTGCCCTACGTAGGTCTCGAACCCGCGACTCATTGGTGGAGGGCTGGTGGGGTAGCTGGTGGTGTAGCAGAATAGCTCTCATCAACCCTTGTGATCATTTTTTGACTTCGTCTCATCATTTTTTTTATTCAAATTATAGTTTTACTGACGCTTCGATATTCTCTCATTATTTTAAATACCAATTTGACGAATCAAAGACACATTTGATCGTGAAATGAAAGAAAACTCAGAATTAGATATTCAATAAAAAAAAAATCAAATACATTATTGTGATACATCAGTTGGCGTTCATTTTAACGGTTGATAACGGACAATTACGTAAATTATTACTACACACTATTCTGACTTTTTTTTCGACATTTTTTGAAGTATCCTAAATGCAGCAGCAAATGTTTTAGGAAGACGAGTTATTAAGTGTTTCATAAATATTGTATAGTCCAACACAACATACCGAAAACGCACATATATAAGCGTTTATTTTCATACATGTTCGTCATTGGTACATACATGTAACTCATTTGGCTGTATTGTACTATATAACATGTGTTATGATGAGTAATTGTTTACAGAATAATGAACACTCCCTCCTACATGTGTTAATGTTTACTCCAAGATGCTTCCGGTATAGTCAGTAAGCAAGCATGGCCGTCAAATAGTAAGCGGTTACAACAGTAGAAAATTTAATCTTAAGAACCAAATTACAACACCGCAAGTGTTAAAATACAGTAACATGTTCATGCATTCCTTTATACAAACGTATCTCAGTTAGAAAAAGAGCATATCGAACTATAAAAAATAATAGTTCCAGCTCAAAATCGAAAATTTTGAGCAGGGGATAAGTTTCTTGGATATCCTTGAAAAAGTATTGGGGGAATATGATAGGAGTTCCGCAAGGGTAAGCGTCTTATGTTTCATCGACGACACACGTCATGTAAATATAGGTCAAATCAAAGGAATGGCACATCCAAACATCGAGAACTCGGGTGTTGACAACAAATACCACAAGGCGCACTTAGAAGAATAATCAGAAACATTAACTTTCATGTTACACTAAGAAAAAGCATATTTCTTACTAAGTTCATTTTGGCGACCCTAAACCTTGTCCACAGTCAGCATCACCCTGCATATTTTGAAACCCTACGTTGAAGTTTAATCCGTCAGCAGCTGACAACTATCACGGAAGTGATGCTATTCTGAGCAACTTCTTGAATGTCAAATCACTTGCGACAAGTAAACTTTACAGGAGATGG